TTTATAAATATAAGCAAAACATCTCTTTTATTCATTTATCCATTGTTAGACATTTAGATTGTTTCCATATCTTGGTTATTATAAACATGCTGCAATGAACCTAGGGGTGTCTATATCTTTTTGAATGTGTGTTCATTTTCTTCAGATAAATACCCAGAAGTGGAATTACTGGATTTTTGATAGTTCTATTTTTAATTTTTTGAGGAACCTCCATGATGTTCTCCATAGTGTTGGAAATTCACATTTCCAACAACAGTGCATGAGGGTTCTCTTTTCTTCATATCCTCACCAGCACTTGTTATTTCTTGTCCTTTAGACAGTAGCCATTCTGTAGGTGTAAAGTGATATCTTATTAGGGTTTTGGTTTGCATTTCCCTAATGATTAGTGATATCAAGCATCTTTTTATGTGCCTTTTAGTCATTAGTATATTTTCTTTGGAAAAATGTCTATTCAAATTCTCTGCCTATTTTTAAACTGGAATGTTTTTGTTGTTGTTGTTGTTGGGCTGTAAGAGTTCTTTATATGTTTTGGATATTAATCTTTTATCAGATATGAGTTAGGAATATCTTCTCCCATTCACTAAGTTTCCTTCTTATTTTTTTGATGGTTTCCTTCACTGTGCAGTAGCTTTCTAGTTTGATGTAGTCCCATTTGTTTCCTTTTGTTGCCATTGCCTTTGGACTCAGATCCAAAAATATCACTAAGAGCCATGTCAAGGAGCTTACCACCTATGTTTTCTTATAGGATTTTTATGAATCTGGATGTAAGCCCTGTTGGTTTTCAAAGCCAGAGGTTTGGGGGGGCTTACCAGTGCAGGTCCCAAGGGTCAGGGTGCCAGATGTAGGGCACAAAATTCTTGCTCCTCTGGGAGAAGCTCTTCATCTACAAGATCCCTTCTGATTGTGGGGCTCCACACCAGGGGTAGGGTTTTTGGCAAGACTGTCTCTTCCTCTTTTACCTATCTTGATGTAGACCTTTTGTCCTTTGTTTTGGAGGAGCTATTTAGCTAGTTCTCAGGTCTTTTCATAGGGAATGGTTCCATACGTAGCTGTAGATTTGTTGTGTCCATGGGGGGAGGCGAATTCAGGATCTTCCTGTGCTGCTGTCTGAACCACCTCCCCCACACACCTTTGTTCATTTTCTTCTTCTTCTTCTTGTTCTCCTCCTCCTTTTGTATCAAAAAATGCATAAAGTATAGACCCTATGTGGAGAGACAATTTAAATACAGTACGATAAATGGAAATAGTATAAGAAGAGAACACTGTCAGAGCCCAGACTACCTCCTCACAGTTGAGAATTAAGCTGCAGCTTGAAGGATGAATAGGAATAGAAAAGAGTATGCATGGTTCCTTATTATTTCCATCAGCATGGTAGTTAATGGTGAAGTACAGTTAGCCTGGCTGGTCCCAACTACTAGTCATGCAGGCTCCAGCACCTAATCCTTCAGGGTTTGGCATTGATTGAAATGTTCTCTATCTTCAGTCTTCATGTTGGTGTCCATGAGCTATGTGTGGTTACTGAGCACATTAATTTTAATTAATTTTAATATCCATATATGCATAGTGACTACCATATTGGACAGTACACATCTAGCAGTTTCTCTAGATCTCTAAATTGCAGGAGCTCCTTCCAGGCCCAGTGGGGTCTCAGCCTCTGCCCAGATTAGCTTTCTACTGCTCTCTCTAGATGTTTGCCCCAGGACACCTCTCCCGCTTTGTGCTTCTTTGAGCTTCACTGCTGAAGTAGCTTTGGTGCCATGTCTCTGAGTGAGAAAGCCATTTCCTCTCTAGCTCCCAAATGTCTCTGGTAGGCCTCGGGGCAGCCCACTTTGATCTGTAGTTACCTCCCTCTAGAGGTCTAAGTGCTACAGGTGCTGGGAAATTCTACCTTCTCACTCATTGGTTTCTATTAGTCCCTTCCCCTGGCTCTGCCATTGAGTGAAACTTGGCTTCTTTCTCTTTTGTTCTAGGCTGACTTCTGGGCCTCATCTCCTTAGGGGCTGGGCAGCCTCCAAGAACAATGGGAGCATTCAGGGGACCTTGCTGCCTCCTGTCAGCTCCCTTCTGGAGCCAGAAGAAGACTACTGTCTCTTCCTGTTTCAAAAACCTTCAGACCCTTAATGAATCTCCTGCCCACTTCCAGTTTTCTAGAAACCAGACACTCCATGTTTAGTTCTGCCAAACCCCCATCCTTCCTCAGCACCTTTAACGTTTTGACCATGTCGTTGCCTCTACCTGTCGTATCCGAATTACATGATCATCTCTTCTCTGAACACTTCTGTGATTATTCTAGCCTTTGCTTAGCTCCCTTCATGAGTTTTTGCAGTCTCCACCACACATTTTAACAGTCGTGATCTATCTTGTGACGTTTACGGTTAGCTCAGGTTAGGCTTATCTGCTAACTAGATTGTGTCACTTGGAGGAAAAGACCTTTTTCACATTCCTCACGGTCCTTGGCATACTGTCAAACATATATTAGGTACCCAATAAACATTTATTTGCTGTTTTGATAGATCTGTTACAGAGCGACTCAGATACAGGCTTCATTTGTTTAGAAATCATGTTTTGTATGCTTTTCGGGCTTGCTCTCATTTTGTTTTCAAAATATAAGATGCAAGAGCTCATGTTGTGATATATTTTGATAGAAACTTAAGCAATACCTTAAAAAATGAAGATTTGGTACTGACTTTCAGTGAGGTCACAGGCAGGATAATTCAATCCTGTAATCATTAAGAGCTCTGAAACCCTGTTTGCCAGGGTTTGAATGTGAAGTGGTTTCTAACTCAGTCACAGGTGATGGGTTTTGAGGACATTATATCAGAACTTGTTTGATAGGGCACAGAGATCTGGCAATAAAACTGGGTTATGGAACTACTGCCCCTGAAATCTCTGACAAATGAAACTGTGCCTCCCAGCTTTCCAGAATAATGGTTCCAAGATTGCTTCATCTAGTTCCATGCCTACAGTTCTCATTATGGCAGCTCATAGGACAGACCTAGCTGTTTGGAAATCTTATTATGTGTCTTAGTGTATTTCATATTTAAACACCACTATTGTGTAGAACTGTTCTAAAAGCCCCACTCTATAGATAGAGAAATATTGCCCATTTTCAGGTTGGTTTTCCAAGCAATGATTCATGTGAGCCGTTCTCAAGAACAAAACAGTTTGATTTCCAGATAGACTCTGGAAGGAGACCCAGCCTCTCAGCTCAGCTCTCATATTAATTGAAGAGAACACCTGGGAGCAAAAGACCAGATACATCCTGACCTTAGTTCCCTGGACTTGCGTCATTCTGGGAACTAGCAATTATTTGCACTTCCTCTTTATTACTCCATCCCTCAGTCTGTCCCCAGTTGCCATTTCTGCGTGTGTCAATATTGAGGGCTTCAGGGTGCGGATAGAGCCTGCATATGCCGTAGCTTCATGGCTCGTAGCAACAGCAGATACAACCCAGCAAGAGGGAGTGGGAAACAGGAGGAGCCAGTAGGGTCTGTGTTGGTGATTAATTTGTGATTAAGTAGCCAATCCTTTGTGTTATATTCCACAAGGTCATCAGGAATGAATCTAATGGATGAATTAACTAGTTAATCCCTTTCATTTAGCACATATTCAGGCTGT